ACTCCGTGGCTAAAACACTAATTACCAGAACCAAACGCCTGGCAGACAAGACACACATTAAGACTGAACTATGCACCCTGACTAAAGTACTGACAGCCAACGGCTTCCACAAAAGCAAAATCACCAGCTTGATCCACAAAAACACACTGAAACATAATAGAGACCCAGAAGATGAACAGACCTATGGAACAGCTGTCCTGCCCTACATAAGAGGTACTACAGACAAAATTAGTAAGGTACTACACAGACATCACATCAGGACTGCCTTCAAAACAGACAGAAAAATAGCAGCCATCCTTAGCAACCCCAAAGATAAAATTGACCTGGAAAACCAAGGCATATACGAAGTCCCCTGTGCATCATGCCCGGCCACATACATTGGACAGACCAATAGAAGAATAAGCACCCGCCTGGATGAACACAAAAATGCAGTCAAAAAGCTGGAACACACTTCCTCACTAGTCCAACACATGGAAGCCACAGGTCATAGCATCAACTTCAATGGCACCAAAACCCTGGCCACTATAGAAAACCCTAATCACAGAATCATCAGAGAAGCCATAGAGATTGAAAAAAGACCAGAAAGCATGAACAGAAGAGATGATTCCACCAGGCTGTCAATCATTTGGAAGCCTGCACTCACAAACAAAAAAATCTCCACACCACAAGCCAGGCAAACACCTGGGCACAAACAGATCCCCCCTGATACCTCCAGCTCAAACACACCCCAACCAGGCACCCAGATGAAACCCAGCTTCCTAACTAATGATAGCCGTCCATTTACCCGAAGCCAAGCTGCACTAAAGGCCTCCATTAAAGCAACACAATGCTGCCAGCCAATCAAGATACAAAAAGAGCCAAAAAACAGACAGAAGATATTAGAGACACCAATCAAGCAGAACACAGCAAACTCCGAGACCAATAAACACAGACCAAGACTCCCAACCAATCAGGATGAAGAAAAAACCATTCTGGCACAGCAATAGGCTGCCCCAAATTCAAATCTGAAACTACTGTAAAAGTCTGACTCACAGACGGACACAATACAGAAGCCTGATGATGGCAGATGAGATTCTGCTGAAACGTTGCTACAACTTTAAAAGAACTACAATGACGTGGGAAAATACCCGAACCAAGCCGAACACCATACATGTAAGTACCCGCGAAAACTTAAGAAAACATATATATATATATATATATATATATATATATATATATATACACACATACACATATACATATACACACACACATACATACATACATACATACACACACACATACATACACATAAGCACACACGCAAACACAACTATGCATTTTAATATATGCATTAATATATGCATTGCATTTCATTCTTAGAATAGGGTTATTAAGCTGCTAAAAGATAACAGTAGGACCTTTTATATCACTTTGAAATAACTAGGCCAGCTGTCCCAAAGGTGCTTTTCAAAAGGCAACTGGGCTTTGTTTTTTTTTTCCTTGAAGACATTTTGCTTCTCATCCAAGAAGCTTCTTAGTTCTGAAATACACTTCAGCACTGAAGAAGCTTCTTAGATGAGAAGTGAAACAACTTCAAAGAAAAAATAAAAACAAAAGTCCAGTTGCCTTTTGAAAAGCACCTTTGGGACAACCATTTTTTTATTTTATTTTATTTGTCAAGCAAGTATTAGATAACAGGTATAAGTATAAGCACGGTTATGAATACATGAAATGGATACAAATAAAAAAGAAACAATAGGACAGGGACGGTAGGCACGTTGGTGTGCTTATGCATGCCCCCCTACATACCTCTTAGGAAAGGGGTGAGGTCAATAGTAGACAGTCTAAGGTTAAAGGTTTTTGGGGTTTGGGGAAGAAACCACAGAGTCAGGCAGAGTATTCCAGACATTGACCACTCTGTTACTGAAGTCGTATTTCCTGCAATCTAATTTGGTGCGGTTAACCTTGAGTTTGTATCTATTGTGTGCTCTTGTATTGTTGTGGTTGAAGCTGAAGTATTCATTGACAGGAAGGACATTGCAGTAGATAATTTTATATACCATACTTAGATCGGACCGAAGGCGGCGTAGTTCTAGGTTGTCTAGGTCTAAAATTTCAAGTCTGGTGGCATAAGGTATTCTGCTACGAGTAGAGGAGTGGAGAACTCTTCATTATCTGTTACCTGGATGACTGAGAATCTCCATAGATAACTGGGCCGGCAGCTTTGAAAAAACCAGTGGAGAGGCCTTGGAAATGGTTGTAAACAGTAGGGATCGATCATGTCACTGTTTAGCATCTGAGGGATAATTCTGCATCTGTGCAGCTTGCTAGCAAAACTCATGGCTTTGTTTTGATGACGTCTTCTTTCTCCCAGGAACGCTGCATGACTGTGCACAAGCGGACACACACCGGTGAGAAGCCCTTTGTTTGCCTCTCCTGCAACGAGGGCTTCCAGCAGAAACAGCTCTTAACCAGTCACTTCAAGAGACACCACGACTCCACCTTTGAGCCAAAGGTCTATGCATGTCCCAAATGCAGCAAGGGCTATTCACGTTGGGTAAGGTGACTTGCTGGCCTTTTTGAAGAGGTCTACAACTATATGTACAACAGCTGGAGAACAATATTTGCACTGAGCGAATTCCGCGCAAATACAGATTTTTATAGTCCCAGATTTAAGCTGCCATCTACATGTGTTCAATTCTGATTCCCATGCTGGTTAATGATCACTGGATATTTTTTTTCAAAACTTTTGCTTCTTGATAAATTCTTTGCGATTATGATAGACTGAACCCAAATATAATTTCAGAAACCCTGTACAGGTAGTCCTCGACTTACAACAGTTCATTTAGTGACCATTCAAAGTCACAACATTGCTGAAAAAAGATGGCTTACGATCGTTTTTCACACTTACGAACATGGCAGCATCCCCAGGGTCACATGACCAGAATTCAGATGTTTGGCAACTGACTCGTATTTATCACAGTTGCAGTGTCTCGGGGTAATGTGACCCCTTTTGCGACATTCTGACAAGCGAAGTCAATAGATAAACCGGGTTCACTTAATAAACATGTTACTAATTTACCAACTGCAGTGATTCACTTAACAACTGTAGCAAGAAAAGTTGTAAAATGGGGCAAAACTCAACAAACTAAGTTCACTTAACAAACTAAGTTGTTCACTTAGCAACAGAAATTTCGGTCTCAATTGTGGTCGATTGAGGACTACCTGTATTATGTAGGAATTCTGAGACATGAAATTAATTTTTAATGACTATAACGTCAAGAGCACGTGAGCCTCTCTATAAAGCCTTAGTAAAACCACACCTAGAATACTGCTGTCAAGATTCCAGCGATCGCCCTAATTAAAACATGAGCCTTGAGCCAAACTTCAAAAAGAACTTCAAAGAATTCATTAGGAGCGACATACTGGCATGACTTGTATGAAGTCGATTCTGGCATAGGCTAATTACAGTCACCTGTGACCCTGCTTCCCCCCTCCCCTCTGGGTGTGTCATAAATCAGTTTCTCCAATTAAGCACCTACACGGGCTAGGTGTCATCCATCACGTTCTCCAATTAAAGTTCTTCCTGGGCAAAAGCTTCAGTAGCTTAGTTACAATCTTTTTAAAGATAAGGTTGGAATGTGCTTCTTTTTTTTCTTTTTTTTAAATAAATTTATTTATTCAAAGTTTCAAAAATTTAAAAAAGAGAAACAAGTCCTCACATTTTACAGAGGTATCATAGCAGTGTACATGTCCTTTAATAACAATTAAGTTCATTTACCATAGGTATATCTGTAGATAATTTACTAGTTCCTTACTTACTATACTACTGTTAAAGTACAATACTTATTTATTTACATTACTTTACATATATACACATAAGTCCTATATCATATTCTTCTTTGAAATTTCTTTAGTCATTTTCACAAAACATCTTTACTCCCTTTTTTTAATCATTTGTACCATATGTTCCATATCATAAAATATTCTTCTTCCCTTGTTTTTTAATAACATAGTTAGTCTGATCATTTCTGTGCATTGATGTATCTTATTAATTACTGCTAGATCTGTGGGTGTCGTGGTCACTTTCCAGTTTTTAGCAAGAGAAATTCTTGCAGAAGTTATAATATGTAGTACTAGATATTGGTGTTTCTTATCCCATGTTGGTTCTAGCATATCTAGCAAAAAGATCTCTAGCTTAAACTTGATCTTTTGTTTTGTTAACTCCTCTAACCATGCTTGAATTTTGAGCCAGTACTTTCATACTTGGGACACGTCCACCACATATGAAAATACGTTCCCTTTTTCTCTTTGTGGAATGTGCTTCTAAGTTCATTTGCTGTATGCTTTTCTAATCTCTTCCCTCCCCCCCCCTTTCTTATGGCAACTTGGAAACAAATGTAGGAATGTTTTACAAGTTGACGACTGCATCTAGTTTTGGTCACCACACTATAAGGCACTACATTGGCGATAACTTCGAAATTAGGTCATGAGTACCTTTTTGTGGGTCTGTCTTAATTTCCAATGCTAAACAGCTGGTCATAAGTGCCTATGTATCAACCCTATCCTGCTCCCTGAAATTCTGATTCCATTCTGCTTTGCTGACATGGTTATGCTGGCTAAGGAAGGGCACTTAAAGATTTCTCCCTTTCCTAAAACTCTGTGCATTCATACTTTTAACTGGTTGAATAAATTCTCTTTCTTTTTTTTTTCTTTCTGCATAGAATAACATGCTCAAGCACACTGAAAAGTGCAGAGAGACAAGAGCTGCTGAAAGCTCTCCATCCTGCAAAGCAAGCAAGAGGAAGAAAAGAGAAGAGAGTAGTCATCCTGTAGCCAAAGAAAAAGGTAACAAATGAGATGATCACAATGAAACACAGCAAAAAAGAAGGGCTCTTTTTTTTTTAGTAAGGAAGGGGTGTTTTTTTTTTCCCTGACCAGGTTTAGAATCTGCACATTAAAAAAAAAAAAAGGCACTGATTAGCTTACCTTTTTCTAATAAGTAAATTCCAGCACAGATATAATCACATTTTGAAAATTGCAATAATGGATAAGCCATCAATACATCTGTATGTTAAAATAAATGTGAAGAAGAAGAAGAAAAGACACTCTAGCTTTTAACTAAAATAATGTTCCCGTATGCTGAGACCGTCACTTGTCCCTGCCCTGAGAAACCTCATCCCTGGTGGATACAGGTTTCACCAATCCTAGGGCAGCCATCACCAAGTCTGGTGTCCTCCAGAGCCACAGGCTTGAATTCTCAACATTGGCCATGCTACATGGAGAATTACAAAAATTAAAGTCTCTCTTCCGTTGGAAATTAAAGTCCCCACATTTGCAGATGGACCTTTTGACCTCTTCCTGTATGCATTTGGGTTTCCCATGTTGATCAGCTGTCCATTTTAAAGAATTACTTTCCTTTTAATACAAACAGTTTCCACTTTGGTCTGGTTTTTTTTTAAATTCGATTTTTATCCTGCCTTTATTACTTTATAAATAACTCAAAGTGGTGGATATACTTAATACTCCTTCCTCCTCCTATTTTCTCTACAACAACAACCCTACAAGGTGGGTTGGACTGGAAGAGAGTGATTAGCCCAAAGTCACCCAACTAGTTTTCATGCCTAAGGGGGGGACTAAAAATCACAATTTCTTGGTCTCTATTACTGACTTTCTTACTGTTACTGGATACACAATCAGCCAGATGTTTGGACTGGATTTGTCATTTTTATCCATATTTTGAGTCCTTCCCAGGAAAAAACCCGCTTTTTCCCAGGAGGCAAGTGGCCTTGGTTTTCTTTGAAGACGTTTTGCTTCTCATCCAAGAAGCTTCTTCAGCTCTGACAGGATGGTGAGGAATGGAAGGATTTATACTCCTTGCAGACAGCTGGTCATTTGCATTCCTTTTAGCGAGTCGTTGAGACCACATCATCTATCTCCTGTGTACAGCACAGTCCTTTCAACAGTTCCAAGAAGGCTCCACACCCATTTGCACCACTCAGGTGACCCTGATGACACAGATAAACCTCCATGTGGCCTCAATGATTCTCTAAAAGAATGCAGATGACCAGCTGTCTGCAAAGAGTATAAATCCTTCCATTCTGCACCATCCAATCAGAGCTGAAGAAGCTTCTTGGATGAGAAGCGAAACATCTTCAAAGAAAAACAAAAAAAGTCCACTTGCCTCTTGAAAAAGTATCTTTGGGATAACCAAGGCCTGGATGACTGAGAGCCTCCATAGACAGTTGCTTGACAGTGTTACAGATGTTGCCACAGGATGTAAGCTGTTCCAAGGAAAGTCACCTTTTTCAATTGACTGATGGTGATTTTGTCAATGCCAATGATGCTCAAGTGGTGCTCCAGATGTTTTGGGATTTGCCACAGTTGTTCTTCTATTCTCAGGTCTTTGAATTTTGTGTTCTTCTCCAGTTTTTTTCTCTCTTCTGCGTCTCTGGGTACTGCAATATCTATTATCCAGACTTAGTCTTTCTTATCAACAATTGTTGTTGTTATGTATGATGGACATATTTCTAAACTTGTCTTCCGGCCAAATTACCATGCTTTAGCCCATATTAGTTTTGCTTGTGCACACAATAAGCTGCGACCCATTAGAAACACCCTTTTTAATCTTCCTTTCAGACATTACAGAGACAGGTGAACTTGCCTTCTCTGCTTCCCCATAATATTCAGAAATATTCATTGCCACCCTCCCCAATGACAGTTTTATGGGTATAATTAGGGCCAAGGTTGGTAAGGAAAATATAATCATTAATCAGTTTGAAGCATGCAGAGTATTTTCAGTTTCAGAAGTCATGTGTGAAAGTATGCTGTCTGCCTACATAATGAGCGCAGAGACCCTTATCATCATGTTGATATTTTTAATTGTTTTTTTTCCCATGCATTCTGGGCTCCCGGCCACATCCTTTCATCTATAGCTGTCCCAAAAAAACATACAGGAAGTCTTTGACTTACTACCACGGATACATAATTGTGCTTGGAAATTATAACATGCATTGTGACAGTTGTAAAGTGGGACATCATGTGACTGACACCCCCCCCCCCTTTTTTTTTTGGCAACAGTTGTAGAGGAAACACCATGGTTATTAAGTGAATCCATTCTTGGCTGTGGGCCAGATTTTGCTGGAAAGTGGAAGTAAAATGCAAAAACATCATAAATCGCAGTGACATGGCTACTTCAAACAGCCATAAATGTGGGCCTGTTGCTGAGCGCTTCCAGTATAGTCATGTGATTGTGAGTAAGGGGCACAACTGCCAGGTCCTGGTTGTAAGTAGCTTTTGGGATCCATTTTAACTTCAAATTTGAAAGGAACTGGTCACAATTCAAGGAATACTTGTAGTTGGAGAATTTGGGGGGGTCCTGAATAACATAGGACATAGAAAGGGGTTTGTTTTGAGCAGCGTGATGGCCTAATGATGAAGACAGTCGTCTCCCAGTTGGAAGGTTGAGAATTCAATTCTAAGCAGCAACAAATATTTAAATGCTCAGCTCCATCCAGTCGCCTGAATTTGAGGGATTATAGGATCGTAAAATAAGAGTTTATAGAAAGGGGTTTGTCTATGGAGATTCATCCAGGTCGTGGTTGTCCCAAAGGTGCTTTTTCAAGAGGCAACTGGACTTTCTGATTTTTCATTTCTTCATTTCAAGCTCTATTACGGTTACTGGATGCACAATCAGCCAGATGTTTGGACTGGATTTGGCATTTGTATCCATATTTTGAGTCCTTCCCAGGAAAAAAACCTCTTTTTCCCAGGAGGCAAGTGGCCTTTCTTGTTTTTCTTTGAAGACGTTTCGCTTCCCATCCAAGAGGCACCTTCAGTTCCAACTGGACAATGGGGAATGGAAGGATTTATACTCCTTGCACATAGCTGGTCATTTGCATTCTTTCAAAGAGTTGTTGAGGCCGCTTGGAGATTTATCTGTGTCATCAGGGTCACCTAAGTAGTACAAAGGAGTGTGGAACCTTCTTAGCAAATGTCCATATTCACCTTGACTATTTTTTCTCTTCAAGAAGCTGTTTGTGTGGACGCTCCATTCTGTACCCCGTACAGTGTTTCTCACGAAGCACAGGAGAGGAAAGAAACTGCTCTGAATGGCAGTAAAGCAGGAATTTCTTGTGAGATGATCTTCAATTTGATGGACAAGTAGCGTTGCTGTTCCTTCTTCTTTCTGCTTGCAAAGCAGTGACTTCAATTCTAGAAGAGCATAAAAACGCAGATAGAAACCTGTGATGTTTTCTGATATGATTATTCAAGGGCTAAATTTTGCTTGCCGTTTTGTCTTTTGGTCTTGTTTTGACAGTGCTGTATACAGAGGGGAATCTTTACATAGTTAAATATGTGGAATTCTTTCCGTTGTTTCCAGCTGTAGAGTTTTAGTTAACCAGAGTTGGAGTTAAGATCTGATACCAGTTTATTCTTCCATGGCGATGTTCCCCCGTTGCTTTTTATGGCGAATTCATCTCCAGGTCAGGTTTAGATGTTATTGTAGAGTCAGGGGTCTTGCACATTTTTGCTCCCAGTGGCAACCCCAAGCTCCTGCAACTTGTATCGCAATACAAGATCCCGTTGAACTGAAGGGAGAGCTTGATTTTTATCAATGTGTGACCATGATCAAATCAAACCAAACTTAGATGCAAATACATGGACATGGGACATCATAAGAACTGAATCTGAACCTACCTTGTCCTCATTTTTGTGGAGCCATTTTTCTAATTAAGTACTCCCAACAATTAAATATTAAAGCTGAAGTCTTGTATAAAAACATTCTTGCTTACTTCTTTTTAAATGTGAGTATCTCACAGAGATCAGATCAAATGAGGTTAGTTTATGCTATTGATTTGTTTAGGATAATGGTGCAATAGCCTTTCATTTAAATATTTTATTTAAATATTTACTTATTTGACATGAAAAGTATTGTTAAAGCTGATGCTACGTCTGTGTTTTATGAGAACATTAGAGCTGTTTGGAGGGGGAAATTGTTGGGCCGTTGTTACGCAGGCATAGAAATGCGAAGTATTATCAGTTCTTGTTTAATAAAAGTTTCTGTGCCCAGTTTGGTTTAATTTAGCCGTTTTCTAAAATCCTTGGATGTCTGAGTAAAGCCAGAACTACTATGTGAACATTCAGCCCATGTATAAAATCTGCAAAGACGTGTGTTACAGGCAGTCCTTGACATATAGCAATTCATCTACTGACCATTCAAAGTTACAACAGCACTGGAAAAAAGTGGCTTATGACCACTTTTCACCCTTACCACCACGATAGCATCCCCAGAGTCATGTGATCAAAATTCAGACTCTTGGCCACCGTTTCATACTTACAACCGTCGGCAGTATCACCGGTTGATGTTATCCCCTTTTGTGACCTCCCAACAAGCAAAGTCAATGGGGAAGCTGGATCCCCTTAACGACTGTGTTATTAACTTAACAGCTGCAGCGATTCACTAAACATCTGTGGCAAGAAAGGTGGTAAAATGGGGGCAAAACCAACTTAAAAACAATTTCTACTTAGCAACAGAAATGTTGGACTTTATTGTGGTCATAAGTTGAGGACTACCGTACCTATATTGCAAACATAGACCTCCATAGGCATCAGATTGACAAAATATATGACATCAGGATACAAGCTTGTCTTTGTAATTGCATCACAATATCTGGGGGTGGGATTCAACTGGTGTAACAATCGGTTTGGTGAGTGTGCACGCAGCATTTACAACTCACCTTTTGCTGCAAGCCCTGCATGTAAAACAGCTGACATGCGGCAATCTGCTGTGACATCCAAAGCAGCTGAGCTGGAAAACCCGGAAATAAAGCACAGGCTGGAGCCCGGGCAGGTGGGCCCAACAGCTGATCTTCGGAGCCACCAGTTTGTCTGAACCAGGCCGAACTGGTAGAATCCCACCCCTGACAATATCATGTGTATGTAGTAAGGGTTGGGGCCCAACAAGGCATCTCTCAAGAGTGGACATCAACCCTTTCCTGTCATTGCTCCCAAAGGGCTGGCTCCATGTTGAAATATGTGAGAGAGGGACAAAAAAATTATCTCTTCAGATTTTTCAATGTCTACTTTCACTTCAGCCTCAAAAAGCCCTAGAAATTATAGTCTGTCCCTCTTAGTTCCTTCATTATTTCAGTGTCTTCTTTGTACCTTTTCCAGCTCAATGAGATGTTGCTACCTGGTGTCCTTGGAATCTAATTCTGTCTAAAACCTTTTTAAAATGGGAAGGGGTCCTGGGAGAAAAAGGTTGAAGAAACCCTGGCTTAGGGGAATAACAATTATGGGGCAATTGAGGAACTTAGAAGAAAGTGAGAAATCAGAACAAGCTATAATTTGGAGAAATCATGCAAGAAACATCTGGCTGGCCTTTGGGCTAGGAAGGTAAGCAGGCTTAATTGCTCCTACAGTGGGAGACAGAATAACAGAGTTGGAAGGGACCTTGGAGGTCTTCTAGACCAACACCCTGTTCAGGCAGGAGATCCTCTATCATTCTGGACAAATCCAGTCTCTTCTTGAAAACCTCCAGTGTTGGAGCTGAGCTTCTTAAGGCAAGCCATTCCATGGGTTTATTGTTCTCATTTTCAGAAAATTTCTAATCATCCTCATAAATTATATGTTATATTTATTATATATAAATTCCATATATTAATCAGCTGGAAGAAAATAATTTACCTCCAAGAGATAATCAGTTATGGACGTAAGAACTTCCATAAAAGTTACTCTATCTGGATGTGATGTCCATTATGAATATTTACCTCAAGATGGCGATAGAATTTCATGTGTATTAGATAACAAGCTTTAAGAATTTTGCTCTTTTCAGGAAGAAGTAATGTTTGCAGAACCAAAGGATCTAAATGGCCATCCAAAAGTGAACAGATGGAATGACCCTCTCAGCTTTTGTTAGCTGAGTTGGGGTGGAATTGATAGACGTCTGATTGCATGGCCAAGTGAGGTGGAGATCCCAAACACCGAAGCCCAAGAAAATGACAGGTATAAAGAGGTTTAGGTACTGATATTTATTACTTATTAAACTTGCACTCCCCCCCCAAAAAAACCCCATATCTTGCACAGATGAGCTGAATAACAAATACATTCATTCAAGGGGTAGTTTTGCTCCTTCATGAACTATAATTCATACTCCGGTGCATTTTGAGTGTAATTATTTAATTCAAGGATGGCCATGCTGAGGTTAGCCACCGAAACTAATTTCACATTAGGCTAGGTTAGTTTTAACTGTGGTTTATTATATGAACCATAAAGATTGCCTTCATTCAACATGTTGAAGCCATAATCAAACCACAATATGGTTAGCTAGTTAGTTATCAGAGTTAGAAGGACTTTGGAGATCTATCAGACCCCCTGATCAAGCAGGAAACCCTATATTGGGTGTCAAACTCGATTTCATTGAGGGCCGCATCAGGGTTGTGTTTGACCTCGGGGTCAGGGTGGACATGGTCAGCTGACATCACTCGTGTCGGAGGCACCTGTGGTGGCCTGTGCGCTCTGCCAGTGAAAACAGACTCCCAATCTCCTTTTTCGGCTGGGACAGCCTCTTGCAACTCTCTGCTAGCAAAAACTGAGCTCACATGTGGCCCTCCCGAGCTCCGTTTTCACTGATAGAGGCACTGCGGGCCGGTCGGTGGGATTCTGTGGGCAGGTCTTGTGGGCGTGATATGGCTTGGTGGGTATGGCAGGGAAAGGATACTGCAAAATCCCATTTCCTCCCCACCCCACTAACCTTTCCAGCTCCGTTCTCCTGTGCAGGGCAACAAAAGAAAACCCAGTCAATCATCTGGGACTCGGGAGGCAAAGAATAGACGATGACGGGGACAGTCAGAGGTGGTGTTTGCCGGTTCTCCAAACCACTCAAAATTTCTGCTACCAGTTCTCCAGAACTGGTCAGAACCTGCTGAATACCACCTCTGGGGCTGGTCCTTCATTGTTTCCAGGGTGGTCCCACAGGCCAGATCTAAGCACCCCGAGGGCCGTATCTGGCCTGTGGGCCTTGAGTTTGACACCCCAGCCCTATTAGACAAACGTTGTCCAATCTCTTTTAAAACCTCCAGTGTTGGAGCACCCACCAACTTTTGGAGGCAGACAGGTAGCACAGTTCTAAATGTTACAGGTCAATGGATTTCTAGGTCTCCCTGCTGCCAACCACTTCATCTGACCATTACTAAACTTGAGTGCCTGGGGAAATGTTTGTTGGAATTGTGTAGGGCCAGCCCAAAAGTTGCATTTTGTGCATCTGCACAGAAGATGGAAGACTAGCTGTTCTCATGCATGGACCACTTGGAAAACTGGTGACAGGAAATGCTGGTATGATAAATGAACCCCATGCTGGGGTGAAATCTGGGGGGGGGCTCAGCATGCACTTGAGACCCCCACCCTACGCCTTAAGCCATCATGGAACCCATCGAGTTCACGTGGAATTCAAGAGTTCTTGGAACCCAGTTTGGGGGGGGGAAATGAGCATTTTTTCTTTGTTCTATTTGATTCAAGTCAAGTGTTTAATGTATTTCAGTCTGTTTAGGAATGTATACAAACGGGAGAGCAAACTTTCCTTTGTAATTCACATCAGTAAAGAATACCTTTTCTAAAGCTAAGGAGAGAATGTTAAACCACACCAGACTTATGTACAACCCTCTTAGGATCAGCTCTCAAGAGTCTTCCAAAAGATGTTAGTGCCATTTTTAATGTGGCAAAATGACTTCATTATTAAATACAGGACAGGAGAATCGCTACTACATTAAATTTTGATTACGTATGCAAATGAAAGGTAAAACAATTTAATTTTTGTTTTACTTCAGTCAAAGGTCAACTGTGTCTTTCAGCCTAGAAAAAGTTGCAGATCCCTTCTTTGGAAGATACTATCCAGAGTTTACATCCTGCTTGATTAATTGGTTTTCTGGATTTGGCATTTTATCCAAGGAGATTCCATTCTATTGCATTCTAAGCACGAAAGGGTAAAAATCAAAGACTGTTTAACAATGGAGAGAATGTGCCTTGGTTGGGGTGTGAACAAATGTTTTTGCATTGTTCAGAATGTAAATCTAAATGTTGACTTACGATAATAGTAATATGGGCAGCCTCTGTTCCTTAAAGCAGGCAGATTTCAGACAGTCCAGCATTTATGATGAGTTTGGATTC